TACTCAGAACAGCCCTTCTGGCACCAACAATCATGCCACGTTCAAAGTCACTCAAATCACCTTTCTTCCCCATACTGATGCTCGCTTTGAACTGCAGGAGATTGTCTTGACCATGTCTACATGCCTAAATGCACTGAGTTGCCGCCATGTGATTGGATGCTTAGAAATTAAGTGTTAACGAGCAGTTGGACAGGTGTACCTAATAAAGTGGCCGGTGAGTGTATATTCATTGCTCCATTCAGCCTTAGTGGAAAACTTATTATTCAGAGCTTTGTCACAGAGGCATCATAGGATGGGACGATCCTCTCCCCGAAGATATAAAGCCACGGTGGGAAAATGGATAAATGATCTACTGAAACTGAAAGAGATCTCAATTCCTAGATGTTATCACCCCCCTGACTTCCACAACATTGTCAGAGTAGAGCTGCACCATTTTTCAGATGCCAATTCTGTACGATATGGTGCATGTTCTTACCTGAGATACATAAGTGATGAGAGTAAAGTCCACTGCACAAGGCAAGGGTTGCTCCCACAAAGATCATACTGTAAGTATTCCACGATTAGAACTTGCAGCAGCAGTGGTTTCTACAAAGGTCAGTGTTATGCTAAGAAGTCAACTTTACCTGAAGATTGATCAAGAATATTTCTGGACTGACTCACGAGTTGTACTCCATCAATAATGATGCTCGCAGGTTCCACATATTCGTTGCCAATCGTGTTCAACTGATTAGAGATAACAGTGATCCTAATCATTGGCATTATGATGAGACCTCAAGAAAGATGACATTGTCATTATCAAAGACGACGACCCTCCAAGAAATCAATGGCAACTAGGACGAGTGGTGGAAACTGTTCAAAGCAGCAATGGATCGGTCCGTCGAGTCAAAGTTCAAGTTGGAGGGTGAAAGTCAAAATTCTTCTTCTAAGCCCTTAGTTATTGAGAGGCCAGTCCAGAAAAAGGTTCTTCTGTTGGAAGATTGATGAGAACAGAACAACTTTTGTACAGTTAATTTACTCTATGCTACTTTTATGCAACTATATTCATTTAGTAGAATCATGAAATCCTGTTAAATTAATGTACCCTTTACATGTTACTTTGTTCAATCAACGAGATAGGATTTGATGGGAGTGTAAATGACTACTAAATTATACAATTCTTCTTCTTGTTCATTGGTCCAGCAGTGACACCTAGTGGCTAATTTATGCTTTATTTTGAAGAACTCCCTGATTTGGAACTCACTGCCTCTGGCTGTTAACTCCAAGAGGGCGCTAGAGGTCTGGCATGATTAGGGACAGAACAAACGTGTGTTTACTGATGAG